CCCCCCCCCCCCCCCCCCCCTTCTCTGTTTTTCGCCGGCCTTAGCTCTACTCTCGTCACCACTTTCGTACTTGTGTTGTTTTTCGCGTGCTTTTCTTGAGATGTCCAGCTGTGACTCTACCCCTCCCAACTGCAGGTTTAGCGCGTTAGCCTTCCTACCCGATGTTCGGAGGAGTTTCATCATCTAATTTTCACCCGTCTTGATCTCTTCGTGTATCTCCTCGTCCTTGCCGCCTTCGATGCCCCCCCCCTCCCCCCATTTCCGGGTCGGTTTTGTCGTTTATTCTTATTTTGCGGTGGGGTCTTGCAGGTGATCTTTAGCCTCGGATTGGTGGATGCCCAGGTGTTCCTGGTGGCGATGCACGACGCCATCAAGTCCGACCGGGAGGAGTTCAACAAATTCCGCAAGAATGTAAGGGAGAGGGAGGAATGTTTCCAAAGTTTGTAGCATCCTTCTCCGGAGACGTCCCTCGTGAGCCTGCCTTCCTTACACCCGCGTACCGTTTGTCTGTTTTGCGCTTTTGCGCGCGGGATTAGACCGTTTTGGCGTCATTCAGTAAGAGGCAGAATCTGTACTCGACCGCATGCGTCGTTTTCTGTTTGTAACGTGTTGTGTCGTCAACCCCTCCGATCATTGTGTTGTTTTCCGCCCGTCCAGGCTGGGTAGGGGTGGCGGGCCCCTGCCGGCGTTCCGTGACCATGAGCCCCCGCCACTGACTTTTTCCGCGTAACTCGACTCTCGCTCTCCGCTCTCGCAGGTCCCGAAGTTTGCGCGAGCCCTCATCCCGACGTGGCGACGAGTCTTGTACCTCCCTCGAGCGGGCTGCCTAGAAGACTCTGCCGACGTTGTCGTCGCTCCCTAGAGACAGACGGTTTCACTACTAGGCCTGAGCGCGCATAAGCACGCGTACAACTTGTGTTCGCGGGCGTGCCGGGGCGGTGCAGGCGTGTTGTGTGGAGAACTATGCTTGTGGGAGGCTATTGGCGGTGACCAAGAGGCGGAAGAGAGATCTTGGGAAGTTTGGGACATGGAGGAGCTTTTTTTCCTGCGCGTCTCGGTTGTAGATAGATGGTGCGTGCCCGCCCGGTGATGTGTCCTTTTCTTCTCGCCGTGAAACCTCCGGCAAGGCCCGCGGCCCAGGAGTTTACCCGAATGTATGTTTTAACGCAACGAAGGATCGGTGTACATACGCATGCGTGAGTGGCGTGCATCCTGCTGAGCGTCGAGAGCTCGCCTTGGCATAGTACCGCTAGCAGAGCACTTGGTGCGGCACAGGCAGAAAACAGGACGACATTTTGTCGCGTACCCTGGATTTTTTCCCTGCTCCCTTGAGGTCTGGGTGAGGGTGTGGAACGACCACCTCCGAAAGCCCAAAACTTACTCCATTCCATGTTCATCCTGTGCTCGGTCGATGCCATCGTTACGGACGCACGGACACGTCGAATTCTGGACCTCTTCATGCGAGGGTCCGGTGGCAAGCAGTTGACACGTTCCGACCCCTGTGTGGGTTGAAGGGCTATCTTATTTGTAGGTATTACGCTGACATACAAACGAGGCTCGCGGCCTGTGCCAGCTATGCAAGGCCCCTGAGCGTAGCGGCGCGTGGGGTACCGCGAAGCGCGTAAAAACGTTCGTGCGAGAGTCCACGCTGGACAGCAGACCAAGGCTAGGAGAGGCGTGAAATGCCAAGCGCAAACCAGCCTCTAGAATTGAATGGCGAAAAGCGCGATGTATCCCACAACTTCACCGTGGGTGTGGTCTCCCCTGGAATTTACTACAAACTTCACTTTATCTCGGGGGGGGGTTCATTGTTTTCGAAACCCAGAAGCCCGACGCCCACCTTGCTTCGGAACGAAACCTTCAGCAAAGAATGGTGTAGTCTACTCACGGAACCACGATTGGTGTTGTACTCCCGATGATGGCTGACATCGCCACACAATCGACAGGGTAGCGCAACATGTACAAGGTTCCCAATCTCCTTTCATGAAGCAATTGCGCCAGTTTTTCATTTCGACAACGGGCTGGAGCTTGTGCAAAAACAAATTATAGACTATGTAGCTTCAGTTCATTCTGTTATCATCGCGTTTGAGTTGAAATAATAGTGTGTACCGCTCAGGATACTTTTTGGGTAGGAAAAAATGTAGCGGGATCAAGTTCTTCTGCCGCATCGGTGCCGGGCGTCACCTGGCATGCGCGACTAGAGCATGGTCCGTAGCATGGGCACTGTCGTATGAAGCAATTAGTTGCTGTTGGCACAGGGAGCGCGTAGTGGCGTCTCCACTTTCCCGAAATCAGCATCAACTACATAACGTTGCTCCACGACAACATCAAGCGAGAGTACCAAAAAGTGTCCAAAATACAAATACAAGAACGCTATTATCTGCCACGCCGGCAGCACCTCGTAGTAAAACAATAGCTCGCTGAGAGATTGGCTCCGGCTCCAGCTCATATTCTTCGGCGACGCGATACTTGCTTGACTCTGGGTCCCCCGAACAACGAAAACTTCACCCGGTGTGCACGAAATCCAGAGATATGCACACGCGAAATCCAAAGACAAAGTTTCCAAGAACATTTTCACCTTCTCCCGGAACCTCAGGGCGGGAGCACGTCGAAGCAGTCCATGCCTTCTTGAAAGAGCTGCGAAAAAGGTGGAAACATCTCCCCCAACTGTAAGTGCACTACTCTGTACGTACACCTCTCCGTGCGCGTGTTGCTCTTTTTTGCCCCTCTCTGTGAGAAAAAGTGTCCAAAGTGTTGACTATAGACTGCTCCGGAGTTTTAATGTAGACTACCGTAGCCTTCAAGACTAGTCTACACGACGGCGAGCAGCCTGATAGCCAATGATGACAATGCCCGCCGGTGCTGTGCAGGCGCGTGGTAATGGCAGCACCAGCAAGACCCGTCGTTGTCAGATGCTTTCCATCTGTGGTGGCGTCATCTTGCCATTCGCGCTTGGACTGGTCAGCCTGACCCACTTATCGATTTCACCCACCAACCCTGCACAGACGAATACCACAACTCAAAGAAAGGCGACATATAAATCCGGAAAATAAATGTGTACCATACATTTTTTTAAAAAATCTTCTCTGATTGTTCGAGCTTCTGTGTCATCTCTACCCTATGTACACCGAACTGCAAAGGAGGGTGAAAAGTCATTACGCGACCCTCAAGGAGAGGGCGTCGATCCGGCAGCGCTGTGCTCCGATCTGAGGAGAGACGTGTGGGCCGGAGTCGGAAGTGGTAGTGAGGCTACTCCTAAAAAACCCTTCCACCTCGCGCGCCGGTGGCGGGGGCGGCGCTTTGGGCGGAGGCGTTCTGCACGTCGTCGTTCGCGGGGGTGGTGGTTATTTCGCGAGCCCGTCGTCGGACAGCTCCGTCTCCAGGGGCAGGGCGAGGCGCGCGAGAGAGCTAAAGAAGGTCGTGCTCGCGGAGGAGAGGGGAGGTGCCACCGCTGGAACGCGCACCGTCGGCGGGCAGGGGTGGCAGAAGGTGGAGGCCTCCAATAATGCGTTCCTGCTGGGGAGGGTGTCGGTGCTCTCGGCGCGGGAGTTCGACTCGCGGAGGGGGTACTGCGGCCAGGATCCCGACGTGTACGTTCAGCATTGCAAGTTCAGCTGCCACGGCCCAGGGATCCCCCAACTTGCGGGCGGAAGCTTGCTGTTTGCCGTGCTCAATCTAGGTCTGGAATATTCCGCTGCTAGGAACGTGCTTATTTCTCGGGACGTTGATGTTTGTGTGTAGGTGTTGTGGTGTTTGTTTGGCGTACATGTTCATGTGGTCGTCTACGGGGCGTAGATAAGCCTGGAGGAGGCGGGCGATTTGAGAGAGGCAATTCGGCAGTGATACCAGTAACTGATCTGGCACGATCTTTGAAGGGTAATCATACATGTATTTTTCAGTCTACCGTTGCAGGGGTACATTTGCCGAAGGCTTCAGGACCGCCCTGTTTTTTTAGTTTTTGTTTCGTTCTTCCGGTGTCATTTCCCGCGTGCGGTGCCTGCCTGTGGTGGCCTCGTTGGAAATGTATTGGAAAGAGCGAACTCAAACTATCATGAGGCTAACCAACCTGTCGCGATTAGCGCAAGGGACTGGGAGGGAGACAAACTCGTACTAGCACTTATGTTTTCCTCCGGGTCACCTCATCGTAACATCATGAGACAGGTCAATCATAATCTTGGGATCACACGACAGTCACCATTCTTGGCACACAGCGATCATGAATCACCGGCGCCACGACGGTGAAGCCCAGGTCTAGTGGGCGACATCACGCACGCCCTGCAGAGGCAGCACGGACATTGCACGCCAGTTCCATCACAAGCTTGGTCCGTGAGTACTGTCCACTCAATCTTCGAGCCGCTCGCTTGAAATATGTACATGCATTTATTTGGCCTGGATGATTACTTTGGTCATCATTCTTGTTTCCTTGAATGTTTCATGAGACACACTTAGATTGTATTCCTTGTCACACTGCCGACCAAGGGCCGGAGCAAAAAACAATTACCACAAAATTCTGGCAGCACAACAATCGGGTAGACTACCTCTGCTAAAACCCATGCGTGCAAGCAAAAAGCAAGCCAACACCACGTGACCCCTGCGGTTTGGCACGAAATGCAGCATCAACCGGGCAGGCAGAAGGAGTCCGCAGACACGCCCCCTGACAATGCTTGAGATCGACCCATAGACGCACGCTGGAACCGCAATGCTCCTCTCGCCGCTACACCCTTCAGCGAGAAGCGAGGCATGAAAAAAATATATACATTTGCCCGATTGGCCCGATTTGCCCGAGAAAAAAAACGCAAACCGGGCAACGAGGAAAAAAAGTCGTTGATCGTGGAAACAATCTAGCTGTACATGGGCTCGAGTTTTTGCCGTTCATGGGAATGCACCATCGGGGATAGGCAACAAGGACCTCTAAAGTACGAAGTACATAGTAATCCGTGCCACATCCGTCGAAAGCAAACCCATTAGTGGACCCGAGCCATAGCTGTACAACTGTTTCGTTTCCACGGCTTGACAGTAAACCGCATCACCTCAGGCGGGCAAAGGGTCGGATGAACCGACACCTCGCTCAACGCCTTCGAGAGCAAGATTACTGCCAAGAACAAAAAAAAAACAACAACAACAACAACAATCCGCTGCCGCTCTAGGTGCCGGCGGAGAAGCCCTGTCCCCCCTCCCCTCCCCCGGACATCCCGTCACTGCTGTCATCTCCCTCTCCCTCTCCCACCGGCTTCTTCTCCTTCTTTGCCTTGCCCCCGCGTTTTCCCCTCCTGGTCTTCCTGGGCTCCCCCCCCCCCTCCTCCTCTTGCGGCGGCCCTGAGGGTTGGCCGCCCGCCTCCTCCTTCTGCTCCCCCTCCTGCTGGGACGGCCCCGAGAGGTTTCCGCCCGCCTCCTCCTCGCGCCCGTCGTCGTCGCCACCCCCGCCTGCCTTGGGTAGCTGCTTGCCGACCTTCCAATGGGCGAAGTGTGGGCCTAGCTCGGACTCTTTGCCCCACACCCTGGCGGACTCCTCCGCCCTCTCGTTCATCTTGTGCAGGACTTTCGGCAACTGGCGGTCAGCCAAGGTCTTGTTCTGGACCTTCAAGAGGCCAGCTCCGAGGGCGTCCGCGTTGTTCTTGAGGTCGTTGAGCTTGGCCGTGAGACCCTCCTGGATGTCCTGGATATCCTGCTGCACTGTTGCCATCTCGTCAGCCAGCTTGACTTGCCCCATTTCGAGCTGTTCGGTGCCGAGGCGGAATATCTCGTCCATCACCGCCTTCTCCATGGCAGTAGGCATGTCGGCAGCTTGCTTCTTCAGCTGGAGGACGCCTGCGCGGAGGGAGGCGATGGTGGAAGGCGTGTCACCAAGCTCGTGCTCCACGC